GTGGTCATGTTTTTTGGTGAAGCGGAGACTCTTGAAGAGGGTCTTTCGCTGTCTGTATCGTCCCTGTATATGTATATGTTCTCCTCCTTTTCGGAGTCCGACATTTTGTGCGTGTGTGCGTGCGTGCGTGCGTGTGTGTGTGTGTGTGAGAGTGTGTACGATTTAGTCGTGTTGGGATACCCCCTTACGGGGGCGTACGTGTCTTTTGGTGTGTTAGTCTGTCTGGTATATTGTTTGTCGGGGGTCGCAATTTTAAAGAAATGTATTCTAAAGTAATGCAAATAACTAATAAATAAGTAAGTGGGACTTACCTGGGCATAACCCCGGCACAGGTACCTGTAACAAAGATGCCGTCGGCCTCTATGCTTAAGCCGGGGATTAGGTCGGTGATTAAGAGGAAAGAAAGGGATTCTTTCCAGGCAGCCTTAATAAAGGCAGGTGGAATTTGCTCCTTGCACTACACTTTCACAAAACACGTGTGCTCTGCTCGGCTGCCTGCTCAGAACTCAACGGGATCCGATTGTATGCACGGCCCAAGCTTTGTGCGCGGCGCATAAAAATCTCCACTACTCCATTCCACATAGCTGCGTCAAACCCCATTCACAATCAATTCGCGAGCGAAGTCTGACTTGGCTACGCGTGCTTACCTTTCGCATTCCAAATTAGCTGTTCCACTGTTCCAGAATAAAATCTCGAGCTGGCAAACGAGTTGAAGTGCGCACGAAACTTCGCAAGCTGAAAACTTTGACATCCGTGCCGACTTCCATGCCTGTTACAGGACATGCGCAATATGATTGTTTTAATAAAATGACAACATAATTTTAATTTTATGGATTTTTGAGATTAGTTTAACCATTTTGTTGATTAACCATGATGGAAGAATGGAAAACTCGTTATCCCCTCTTTTACTGGTAACAATGCTTTTGTTGTTGTTACTTAAAAGAAATACAGCTATTGTAGCAATTCGAGCAAAAAAAACTCCATTCAAAGAAGACCTCTTGGTCTTGGGGAAGTAAGACCAATTCTAACGGCCTGGAGAAATCATGAATTTTATGAAAATAAAAATTTTCGTGAAGTTCGTTCCAGTGAGCCCAACATTTTTTTTTTTCAATTTTATAGTCTGTCAGATTTATCATAGTTGTCTGTAATTGGAGATACATTGTAATAAAAACTCGTCGCTAAACTCAGGAGCAGCTTGGCATAGGCTCATTTTAATTATTATTATGAATTATTATTGTACATTCTAGTTTAAAATTTTGAAAACAAACAAAATATAAATATAACTTAAAATATACAGTTAAAACAGCTGATTTTAGTTGAAGCCAACGCGCATGCGCCAAGTGTAGTCTGAATTTTATTTGAATGGTCAAATCCGTGCAGACTTTCGTGCCGAAAAATTGATTCTGAATGCACCTTCACTTAAGCTGTGGCTGCGTGCTGCGTGTTTTGTTTTAGTCTATGGTTTTAGTTTTGTAGTTGTCGTTGTCATAGACCTAGTAAACTAAAGTTGACCGTTTGTTTGTCGACCATTTGTAATTTCATTTCCAGTAATTCCATACCTTGTGTTTTNAAGAAGACCTCTTGGTCTTGGGGAAGTAAGACCAATTCTAACGGCCTGGAGAAATCATGAATTTTATGAAAATAAAAATTTTCGTGAAGTTCGTTCCAGTGAGCCCAACATTTTTTTTTTTCAATTTTATAGTCTGTCAGATTTATCATAGTTGTCTGTAATTGGAGATACATTGTAATAAAAACTCGTCGCTAAACTCAGGAGCAGCTTGGCATAGGCTCATTTTAATTATTATTATGAATTATTATTGTACATTCTAGTTTAAAATTTTGAAAACAAACAAAATATAAATATAACTTAAAATATACAGTTAAAACAGCTGATTTTAGTTGAAGCCAACGCGCATGCGCCAAGTGTAGTCTGAATTTTATTTGAATGGTCAAATCCGTGCAGACTTTCGTGCCGAAAAATTGATTCTGAATGCACCTTCACTTAAGCTGTGGCTGCGTGCTGCGTGTTTTGTTTTAGTCTATGGTTTTAGTTTTGTAGTTGTCGTTGTCATAGACCTAGTAAACTAAAGTTGACCGTTTGTTTGTCGACCATTTNTAGCAATTCGAGCAAAAAAAACTCCATTCAAAGAAGACCTCTTGGTCTTGGGGAAGTAAGACCAATTCTAACGGCCTGGAGAAATCATGAATTTTATGAAAATAAAAATTTTCGTGAAGTTCGTTTCAGTGAGCCCAACATTTTTTTTTTTTTTCAATTTTATAGTCTGTCAGATTTATCATAGTTGTCTGTAATAATTGGAGATACATTGTAATAAAAACTCGTCGCTAAACTCAGGAGCAGCTTGGCATTGGCTCATTTTAATTATTATTATGGATTATTATTGTACATTTTAGTTTAAAATTTTGAAAACAAACAAAATATAAATATAACTTAAAATATACAGTTAAAACAGCTGATTTTAGTTGAAGCCAACGCGCATGCGCCAAGTGTAGTCTGAATTTTATTTGAATGGTCAAATCCGTGCAGACTTTCGTGCCGAAAAATTGATTCTGAATGCACCTTCACTTAAGCTGTGGCTGCGTGCTGCGTGTTTTGTTTTAGTCTATGGTTTTAGTTTTGTAGTTGTCGTTGTCATAGACCTAGTAAACTAAAGTTGACCGTTTGTTTGTCGACCATTTGTAATTTCATTTCCAGTAATTCCATACCTTGTGTTTTTTGTCAAAGTCTGTTATAGATCATACAAAATGGCCAATGGAAAGCAAGAAAATGAATATATTGAAAGTGGTGAAAAGCGACCTGCTGAAGAGGGTAAAACTTTTTTTATTATCAATATTATTTTATTGTTAATGTTTATGTATTTTACAAAAAGAATGATTATTTATAAAAAAATATTACCTAGTGTCAATATATATTTTTAGATTCTTCCCCGATAAATGTAAAAAGAAAGAAAACTGAAGTAAATATTAACATAAGCCAGAAAAATCCCATTTCGATTTTAAACGAGTTAAGATTGGGGCTCAAATATGAAGTTGTAGAGCAATCTGGACCATCACACAATCCCATATTTAAGGTATCGGTTGTGGTAGATGGGCAAACATATTATGGTGTAGGAAATTCGAAAAAAGCTGCAAAATGTTGTGCAGCGACAGAAGCTCTGAAATCATTTATACAGTTTCCCAACAATGGTACAATCACTTCAACAAATAACGTTTCAAATACCAAAATGGATTTCACTTCTGACCAAATAGTGAACAAGAAAAAGAATTCTGCAGGAGGAGCACCAAAAAAGCCGGTTGTTAAAGTACCAGTTATGTTATTAAATGAACTGTATCCTGGTGCGCAGTATGATTGTTCTAATGATGAGAGTGATCCTTATGCAAGGTTCAAAGTAATCATTACAATAGAAAATGAAACTTACTCCGGTACAGGTATTCAAACAGTTTTAATATTACAGATCCTTGTTGCGCCTTCAGAAATCGATGTGAATTTTATCAAATTGTTCAGTTGAGTTAAACAACTGTTTCTTGTCCTTTTTAATTTAAGAATTATAACAATTCTGTTTATCGAATGTGTAGAACTTAAAGTGTTTTGTTGAAAATATGCAGGTCACATTTTGAAGGCGCAACGACAATATGTATTTAAACTTGGTTTAACGAATGGTCGGACCGGTCAAAGTCGTTCAGTTGACAAATATTTCGTTGGGCAGCCCAATCAGCTGATTGGGAATATTGGGCAGGTTTTAATACAGTTACTAAAGACCGTTCAGCAAATTGTTTGTTTGATTAAAGAAGTTTGTCCGAACTATTCCGACCGTTTGCTGAACACAGACTTAATCTACTATTCCATGGTCAGCTACTTTACTTAATCAATTTTAAAAAAAGTAAAATTCTAGGTCCTAGTAAAAAATCTGCAAGGAATGCTGCAGCAACTGCTGCTTTGAGTAAGCTAGCTGCACCGAGCACTGTGTCACAGGAATTGCCTAATGTGTATGGGCTCTCCAATAGAGAGGACCAGGAAAAAGCAGACACTATTGCAAGGTAACAAATAATGTTGTAAAGAGTAGAACTTAATCAAGTAATAAGCATTTGAAAACATTCTGTTACAACCATACATCTAATAGTATATGGATGGGGTCATAGCCGACTTTTTGTGCATTTTAGCTGCTCTGACATGAACAGCAAAAGTCACGTGACCTAGGATGCAAATTGCGCTACATTGATTTGAAAAGGAACTCTATTTATTATTAGGAAATTGACTCTTTTTTGGTGGTAACATAACAATTATGTGTTAAAAATATGAAAATATTTATTTTTAAAAATAAGCTTTGTTAAATTTTTATACTTTATAAAACAATATTTGTACATGAAATGTTTTTTAAATATGAAATAATCGAAGCACAAATTATGTTTGCAGATAGCGCAATGGATTACATGTACATGACATATAAAAACTGTCAAATCTATGCAATAGGGCAAAACTACGTACTAGATAGAATAAATCGTGCGTGATAAGTCTGGAAATGCCCTAAGTCACGTGACCCTAGACTGGTTTCATCTGACTCTACATGTCCCCTGTCCGCTTTCTCTACATTCCATCCGTAGCATACTATATTTGGTCTATGGTTATAACTTAGGTTATATTCAACTATATTCAACTTGTTTTAAACGTAAATATGTACCTTTTTCAACTATTTATTTGTTCGATATTTGTTCTGTAAATAATGGATAATATTATGCATGATTAAATGACATTTTTTTTACAAACAATTGGAGAATAAAAATTTGTGTTTTTAGAAAATATTCAAGCATTTAGGTACGTAATTTTAAAATAATTACCTAGGTTACATTTTGCGGTTCTTTTCATTTCAGCTTATTTTTTTTCCTTTGTTCTTGTCTAGGCTTAGTAAAGTTTTTCTAGCACTAGTGAAAGGAAGTAAACTTTATTTTTATCAATTCAGTTGATACACATTTCAAGAAGACAGTAAATATGGAGGAGTTTAGATTGATTTTTAAGTAGTAAATTTGTTTTTTATAAAGTTCTTGAATAATTTAGAGACTTGATCAACATTTTGGAAAAATGACAAGTATATACATTTTTATTTTTTTGAATGTTATGTTTTTGTAGTAGAGGTTTTCCAAATGGACATAATTTTCCTATATAAGTTTATTTGCTTTCGTATTGTTATACTGGGTGAGCCATCTTAAGGATGCATGCATTGCGGTATCGGAAACTAAGTAATATAAAAAAGAGTTAATTGGGAAAAGTTTGAACCTATATCTCATGCTAATTTAATGCTTCACAGAGTGACTAGCTGTTTAGGTTTACTACTTATTTTTGGAAAAAATATATTACCTGTTTGAAAATCTACCGTAATTTTTTATCTTTGAAAATTTTTGAGAATGTAAAAATATAGCACATAATTTTACTGTGGACGTTATTTTATGGGTGTCACATTCAACTATGTATCATAAGTGCAAGAAAATTGAACATGCCCAAAAAAAAACTAGGAAATAGAAAGTTAATAATGGTTTCTCAGAATCATAGTGAAATTATTTGCAAAAAGTTATTATATTAGTGTATTTATAAATTTCAATTATTGTAAAAAATAAAAGTAGTTGAAAATCCAGCATATCCTTTATTTTCAGTGTATTTTTTTTATATGAAAACTCAAACAGGTAGGGCCGATCTGAAAGCACCATTAAGCTAGTAATAGAATGGTCTAAATCTTTCCCTGTCTAATAACTACAGTTTCTGAGATAACAATACATGCATTTCTAAAATTGCTCATGTAATATATGTATAATGTTTATTAAATTGTCTTTTTACTCTTTGTGATATAAAGGAAAAGTAAATATCTTGAAATTTTTGCAGTATAAAATAATATTTAAATAGAAATATTGCCCTGGTAAAGTAAAAGTAAACACCTATCAGCATGATAAAAGTAGTCTCATATACTATAATCCCACAAAATGACATTGAATTTTATCAGAGGATATGGTTTCTTATCAGTTGCATGTGTACTTATTCTCTATTATTACAACCAGTTATCACAGTATACAGTTTCATATTTTATTGACGCAATAATTCATTATTCTTAGAATACTTGCGATAATATATTTATATCTCAATGTGCATTTTTCAAGGAAAACGTAAAAAAAAATTACCCATTTTTTAATGCAGATTTATAATATATTTATTTGATATTTTTGACAACTATGTACCTACCAAAAGTTATAACATTAAACAAAACATATGTATATAAAAAAATATGTTTAGTGTGATATATGTTATCTGAATTAACTGAGTGAGTAGAGGGAGCTAGCCAGTTCTGGGACCACCCCCCACTATTCCACATTGATTTCAGAGTCAAATGGGAGATTAGTGTTGGGGCACAATGGCATTTTCAAGTGCGGTTCATGCTTTAGAATTCAGCTCTCACAACAACATATCAGTTGGTAGATTTAAATGCTCTATATTAGTCCACTCTTCGAAACCTTACATGGACATCATTTACTTGCATAAAAGGTTAACCTAAAAGATTTATAAAAAATAAGACATTTTATTTATTACAGTAGAAAATAATATTGTATTACCTGACTATTATAATATTTATTATCCGATGTTTGATAGTAATAGTAAGAAGTGACGTAGTGAGCGTTCTTAAATATAATAATTAAATTATTTCCCCCAATACATTTAGAGTTTATTCCAAACCGTGCCTTTACTACACAAAGCTTTTTTATCAAATCAAACTTTAATTCATAACTAAGTGTCACTAATAATCATATCACTAATTTTTGTTAAATCAATACCACATGGAATCCCCATAACTTTATTTGGACAGAGAGCAATAAACAACAAAAAGAATATCTCGAAACATCATGTCTTCTTCTTTTCTAGTGGTTGGTCCTAATAAATCCCATAGCACCGCGGCCTATTGTACGTCCCACTACTAGTCCTATTCAGCAAGTAGTTTTGTCCTTTTCACAAAGTCCAAAAGCTTCATTGCTGACACTTCTCTCAGTTCCTTGGGTTCCAAATAAGGTCTCCCCAAGAGCGTCATTCTACTACGTGTTGGAATTTCTGCTTGGAATACGGTAGGGAACACCCCCAGACTATAGCTTGCACTCCATCTGGGTCTGAGTCCATATATTCCTGCACCCATCCCTCTGGCCATTTTGGAGCCAACTGTAAACCATACTAGGCTCCACCTTTCCAAGGTAATAAACCTTTCCTCCCATTTGCTTTGACCCTCTATTCTAGTCTCAAATGGCTTGTGGAAGTGAAACCTTGGAACCATCTTGTCAGATACCATCCCAAAAGTTGGTTCCGACATAAATTTGTCCATGATAATGGAATAGGAACTCCAGTCGTTGTTATTCTGAGTCGATATGCTGCTAGCCGCATTTCTTTTTCTACCACTATATGCAGCGGTGGTAGATTTAGCATGACTTCTAGCACAGCTATTGGGGTCGATGCCATCGCCCCCGTTATACCTAAACAGGCCAGTCTCTGAATTCTATTCAGTTTTTCCCTCGCTGTGGTCTGTTGTGTTTTTTGCCAACATACCACAGCGCCGTAGAAAGTCCTAAATTTTACTATCGATGTATACAACCAGTGTGACATCTTTGGCTTCAGTCCCCAGGTGCTCCCAATAAGGTGACGGCATACACACAATTTCTGATTCGCCTTACTCACCACTTTTTCCAAGTACGCATTCCAAGTAAGCTTATTATCTAGTATCACTCCTAGATATTTTACTTCCCTGGAAAGCCTAATGCACCTCTCCTCTATTATAGATTCAGAGAGTCCAGTCAAATTCCTTATCCTGGTGAAAGGTATTACGACCATTTTGTCAGGGTTTACTGACAGTGCCTGCCCCTTACACCAGTCATCTATTCATTTCAAAACCTATTTCATGAGTTCTGAAACTATAATATTATGTTTCCCGACTATGAGAACGACTAAGTCGTCCTCATAGCCTTCTGTATAAAATCCCTTTTGATTAAGGCCTTCCAGTGCGCCGCCCACCACTAATCCCCATAACAAGAGAGACCGTACGCTTCCCTGGGGGCAGCCCCGGCTTACCTTACACTTAGATGTCTCTCCCGAAAGCATAGCTGTTACTGTCCGGTTTCATCATGTCGCAACAATAACCCATTTAACCTTGAAACCAACGTCGAGTGTAGGGGGGGTGACTCCAGATGGCCTTGAAAATTTTACAACTGGATGACTCGGGTTCTGCTCAAGGCCATCTTGAAACATTACAACATTCATCTCCCATTTGACATTGAAATCAAAATGGAGAACTGGCTGCCTCCCTCTACTCTTGTGCATACAAAAACATGTAGAAAAAGATCTATCATTTTAGCTTTGAGTATATATGCATAATAAAATGTAGTGATAATATGCATGAAATATATGAAACGATCATCGTTGTCTGTTAAGAGAAAAATATTTTCAGAATCTAAACTGCTGCCTGTAGCATAAAAAGAAATTTTAGGTCAGTTGGATATACAGTTACTCTCTAAAATTACTCTATGCCATTGATTTTAGAAGCTACGTTATCAGATAGGTCAAAGTAAGGGCTGACGCTTGCCCAGAATTTAGGAGGCATTGTGATCGATGCCCTCAGATCTAACAAATTACGCATTTATCATTATTTATTACATATAATACTTGTATTACCCTATTTTAAGTTTAAGTATCAATTTTCCCCTCCTTAAGGTATGCTTTCTTAGATCTGAGGACATTGATTCCCTGGCCGTAGACGGCCTAACTACTCTAACTAACTGGGCAATGCCAACGATTAAACAAACTCTCTTATCTATGGTACTGTATAAATTACAATGCCTTGTGTCTGTTAAAATATGAATAAGATACCTAGTTTGTATCTACCATCTCCTCTCAAAGATCTCCCTTATTCGTACTTATGTATTTATTTAAAAAGTTTAAATAAGGTACATACACATAACTTTTTATGTACCATCTGTCTTGAAAATATTGGAAGACAATTTAGGACAGCCCTATATATATGTTTAATTAATTAATTTAATTTTTTCAATGAAAATAGAAAATTGTCTTAAAAATTAAAACCATTTTAAATTAAATCTTGATTGAAGACTAGTTTTTAAGTGTAATTTTATTTAAATAGTTTCAACACTATTATAACACAGCAATAATTTGTATTATCAGAAAAAAAAAAAAACATCAACAGAAAAGGACTTAAGTTTGACATTTGCAACGACTGAATTTACATAATTGTGTAGTTTTTGTTAATTCTATTTAAATATTTTCAAGTTATCATACGTTTTAATATTAATTAATGCTTTATTAGGCTTGTAACTGAAATGTTTGTATCTCTAATGGCTAATGATTTGACACACATTAAGAGGAAAGTTCTGGCTGGCATTGTAATGACAAAAGATTCCTCTCTAGTGGATGCTGAGGTAATATGTGTGACAACAGGTACAAAATGTGTTTCTGGTGAACACATTAGTATCAATGGAGCTTCATTAAATGATATGCATGCAGAAATTCTCGCTAGGAGATGCTTGATGAATTTCTTGTATGAACAGTTAGATATGATGCAATACCAAGGTAAGTGCTGTAAAAGCATAGTGTAAATAAATATTTATTTCAGTAGCCCATTTTTCAAACAGATCTAGCTACAAATCTATGTATTTAACACATGCTTGTAAAATTGAATTAAAAAAGTTCAGTGTATGCAGCCTATACCATGTGTCAAAAATGAAGGAGCATTTTCCTTGTTCAAATTTAAGAATATTTTCTTATATTAACATTTGCTCTTGAAACCCTCGTCATTGAAAAGTACACTTCAAAATTTAAAAAAAGCTGACAGATTTATCAGTATAATTTTTTTCCTTTTACTGGGATAATAGTCGATAAAACAGGTAATATATCTGGTGATTCAATTGACAATCTATCCTCTTTTTAAATGTTGCAGGTATAATTCATTGTTTGTTCCGGTACTAATCTAAGGAGTAGTCGTAAGATTTTGTAATTTTTTGTAGCAACTTACATTTGGGACATACATTCATGTTTACATAAAATATTTTTAATTAATCGGACATTTAAAAAAAAACGCCTATAAAACACCAGCCTAAATATGTATCCAAGGGAAAAAAAATTAATAACACGCCTTAACATTCAGAGACAGTATGTGTTTAATACTGAACAATTAGCATGTTAAAGAAGTTTTTTTTTTTTAATTTTCAAAGTCTGAACAGCTTTATAAATATGTACTTAAGAAAATATAATCAGCTTTTTTTTATTCTGCCTATTAGTTTTTCTTCATCCATCGTGCGCTATTCGAAAATACTAAACTCGATATCGTCCTGCGAGTTATCCTGTACCTGGTGCAAGGATATGATGCTAGGTGTGGTGCTTCTCTATGTCTGTCTACTGAGACAAAATTTTTTTTTGAATGCCATTTTATTTGCGTCGCTAATGTTCGGTTAATATTTTTTCATTTGTTCCGAAAATATTTAGAAAAATAATATTTTGAAAACTTTAACGTTCTTTATCTTAACAACAAATGTTTCAAGAGCATATATATGAAAATAATCTTAAATTTTGATATTGAAAATACTTCATTTTTGTCATGTTACTACATAGTCCTGTAGCCAGAGGGGTCCCAATTGCCTCCTTCATTTAGATGGAGTTACCCAAGTGTTTTTTTGTGTATTTTGAGCTGCAGAACACAAATTTTTTGGGTAGAAGTTTGCCTGGATGTCGATAAGTTTTTATTAACAAAAAACTTGGAAAATACTGAAACTTAGTTTTTGGCAAAATAAAAAGTATTTTCTTGTTCTTTGACCCATTTTAAGAAGAAAAAAATGTCTTGCAATTTTTTTTTAAACGCATAGTTTTTTATATAAACACCGTTAAAAACTCGAAAAATGCGATGTTTGCGATATTCAGTCGTTAATAACTTTTGATTGAATATGTATTTTGTAATTCTGCTGACGGCGTTTGAAAGTTCACATTAAGAGTTCACATAAGAGAGTGGTTGCCTCCTTACAGGCGTTTAATACACGATCTTGACACGTACTCTTCATTTCTAGACCAAAGAAACGATGAAAACTGAACGAAAAATTAATAATTTATTGAAAAGCAATATTACAATAATTAAAATTACTATACAAGTTTAAAAAATAATAATTATAAAAACACTACATTATACGATGTTACGCTTTTAATATAAGTAAGAATAAACTTTTTTATTATCGTTTATAAATAAAACTAATATAATTTAGCTAATTTTTTTCATATAAATCATATAATAATGTTTACAAAGCAAATTAGAATTAACCAAACATTATATCTTTGATATTTCAGATTTTTCGCCCCTTTTTAATGCATTTTGTTTTAAACGATTGCCATTTATTTTTAAAACTTGTTTGTAGTTGCGCTTCAAAATTGCACTGAAGATGTAAAATTATTAACGTTCATGTTACAAGATGAATAGCAGATCTTTGCATTATTTGTCTAAAAAATTTTAATTTTAATTATTGTAATATTGCAAATTTTCATTAAATTGTTAATGTTTTGTTCAGTTTTCATCGTTTCTTTAGTCTAGAAATGAAGAGTATGCGTCAAGATCGTGTATTAAACGCCTGTAAGAAGGCAACCGCTCTCTTACATACATGGTGGCGTACCCTTCTGAACGTTCAATTGCTATTTGTTTATAGCTTCAAATAACAGTGGAAAAAACAAATTTTCACACTGTAATTACTCATAATTTGTAGTATTTAAGGGGTTATACGCAGTTGCAAGGCCAAAAAACCGTTTTTTTTATGAATTTTTTCTGAAAAGGTATTTTATTTTACAAAAACAAAAAGTATTGGTACATTTAGTGGCAACATCTAAGTTTATAATGGCACTAATGATTTGTAAAAATATTGATCTGGTGTGCTCCTGCAGACGATCTCCGGAAGGTCCTCTAAAAAAAGGTATTTGGCGGTGACCACGATTTCTCCGGTTTAGTTGATCTGACATCAAAAAACCGAAAAGATTCTTTCAGTGGTTGATAAAACTAGGTATTGATCGAAGGAATAATCAAAATTTTGATTTTTGACAAAATGGCGGCTTCGTAAAAAAAAATCGAATTTTCGAGCAAAATTGCCACTTAAAATTGTTTAAAAAAATAGAAATAATTATACAAAATCTTATTCCTTCGATTAATACCTGAGGAATATATTTGAGAAAGTTGTGTTAAAATTTCATGCCGATCGGTTGAGCCGTTTTTTAGAAATCTTGATCACCGACTTGGAAAACAGTTTTGAGAAAAACGCATTTAAAGTTTCGGAAGAAGTTTACACATTGATAACATTTTTTTTTACTTACATGGAATCATATATTCCAGGGCCATAAGATGGACCCTCTGTAGCATCTTTTTCTTCAGCACAAGCTTTTTCGAAAAGTTTCTTGGTGGCTACTTTCACACTAGAGTGAATATTTTCAATAATCAAGAAAGAAAAGAACAGCTTCTACTCTGATTTTTACTCCGCCTACTTTCTAACCGCCCTTACAAATATGCGTATATCTCGGAAACTACTTACCAGATCGATTTAAAATTTTCAGGGAATATAGTCAGATATGTATATTCTGGAAATGTAAAAAAAAATGAATTTTTGAAAATTCTAACTGCATATAACCCCTTAATGTGAACTTTCAAATGCCATCAGCAGAATTACAAAATACCTATTCAATCAAAAGTTATTAATGATTGAAAATCGCAAAAATCACATTTTTCGAGTTTTTAACGGCGTTTATCTCGAAAACTATGTGTTTAACAAAAAAATTGTAAGTGACATTTTCTTCTTAAAATGGGCCAAAGAACAAGAAAATACTTTTTATTTTTCCAAAAACTAAGTTTTTAGTATTTTGCAAGTTTTTTTGTTAATAAAAAACTTATCGACATCCGGGCAAACTTCTACCCAAAAAATTCGTGTTCTGCAGCTCAAAATACACAAAAAACACTTGGGTAACTAACTCCATCTAAATGAAGGAGGCAATTGGGACCTCCCTGGCTACAGGACTAACAATATTGCACTATAGTTTGTGTTTTATTAAACTGTTAAATAAATATGTAACCATAAATTATATTGCTGCCATAAGCTTTAAATATAATTGTTGCATATCTCTTTTTTAATAAATAAATATTATTTTAACAATAGGTGAAGTACATGCTTTGCTTATGTTTGCTTAATTAAAGCAAGACATTGCAAGTTTATAGCTGCCTGCTTTACGTATATTTAACTGCAAAATCTTATACTAATTATTGTGTACCATATTTGGTTATTTAATTAGCATCATAAATAATTTTAATTAATGTACATGTAGGTAGATATGATTTATTGAAGACCTGCTGCAATATTATCCCTGGGAAATGAGAAAATATAGAGAAAACCAACACGATCTGGGTGGTTACTGTTGTACATCGGTGTACTGCTACTACAACATATGTGAGTTATATATATGTATACACATATGCCAGATGGTATAAGAGACATGTAGTATTGTGCAGCTATGTTATTTAAGTCAAATATCTGACATTTGCGTAAGACAGTTCGTAAGGTCCACGATTATCTTTTATCTTTTTAAATTATTTTAAGTGAGTTTTAATTAATTTCATTCTATTTTATTAATCTTAATTTTTTTTCAATTTTATGTCAAAAATTAAAATTTTTATTAGTTTAAAATCAAACCAGAAATTACACCAATGTACCTTCAGTATAATATAAAAAAGTTGAGAGGTATTACTTGTCTCCCGTGTCATCTGGTAAATATATACATATATATAATATGTCTAATATACGTATACAGGGTGAGTTTTCAGTGCATATTTATTCTGTTGTATCGTTTCTTAACAATTCAAAAAATTATTAGCAGTTATTTGTATCCATTTTCTGTATTTTTTTAAATAGTGGTAAGTATTCTTTATAATTTTGGCTATTTCCCATTAAAAATTTTTATCTGAGGATTTTAGTATCACATTATAAACAACACTCTTTTTTTTTAACAATTACGTGTTATTTCTGCAGATTAATTACTATTATAGTCATGATTATTTGTAAACCAATCAATCAATATTGAGCTTATGTTAGATCAATTACATATATTTTAGTGAAAAAAAAAAATCATTGAAATTTGTTTCAATATGAAAATAATTTTATGTACTAAGACTGAATTAATTTTGAGAATTTTTTTTATAAATTTAAGGTTTTATTGTGAAAAATTATGTAGATTATTATTTTTCACTGTATTGTCCATCGTTAGCCACTAATTTTTCCCATCTTTCTGGCAGTATACAGATTCTGCGGCAAAAGAACAACTCATCTTTTGATGCTCTCCACTAATTGATTCAATTTTTTTATATCTTCATAAGATTGGAAGTGCTGCTTAGCCAGGATGTATTCCATAGATCAGAACAAGTATTAATCCGATGGAGCAATACCTGGTGAATATGGTGGGTGGGGTAAAACATCCCATCTCAGCGTTTCTAAGTATTTTTTGACTTCATGAGCAACATATGATCGAGCATTATCATATTCAAAAATTACTTTATCCTGTCT